TGTTTCTTATCGGGGTACTCGTCTGACTGAAAAATTTGCTTAAACCCCAGTCGAATTAAAGCTACTCGCGTCAGCCTACGTACACCATCATGAACTTTTCGAGCCATCGCCTCCCCCTCCTCAGCCCTAAACCCTAAACCCTCCTCGCTGGGGGGGTTCACGTACCTGTATCACGCCGATTCAAACCCATGGAACCTCGCCTGGCTTGTCCGAGTTGTCAGAGCGTAAACCCTCCTCGCTGAGCAGGGATCTCAAGCTGCAAGCGCAAAGGGCCCTTCAGACGGGTATCCGAAGCTTCTGGGCTGCTTTTATGCAGGTTTAGGGTTTAGGGCTCTTGTTAAGGAGCTTTACTTAGAACACCAGAACTAGGAAACCAGATAATTTGCTACAGATCCCTAGTATGCTAACTTCAATTAACTTCCGTGTCAAGAACCCGGTTTTGGTTTAAGGCCACTTTATAGGGTTTTAGTGGGCCGGAATAACTATTGATGGTATTGTTCCTTCACGGTGCTTGCTAGTAGTTCCAGTAAGTATAATGCACCCCGACCCGAAACCCTAGTCTGCTCGTAGCAATTCAATTGCGGCCCCTTTACGAGGTGCTCAGGGTTTAGCAGCTAGGTGCGCACTCCGTGGAAGCAGGAGCCACAGCTAAATCTCCCAATTTCTCGATGTTTCAGCCCGATGAGCATGACTGAAAGCCAGGCAAAAGGCTGCCTTCATCCTAACCCTAACCCTGCCTATCCCCTGTGACCTTCGCCCTTCACTCTCGGCCTGATGGGCTGGCACAAACTCTAAGCCCTAAGACCCCTAAACCCTACACCCTGATATGAGTTAACGTAGATTCCTCAAGACAGGGATAATGAGAAGGTCTCCTCCTCATGTCCAAAGATGTAGGTGACCCAAATTCAACGTCCGGTGGGTGTTGGCTTCAAGGGGGCTCCGTGGTTGTCCCATCATCTGTTTGAAAGCTCCAGGTATGAAAGATCCCTGCCTGGGGCTTTGCATGAATATAGGGGCCTGAACAATTACCTATACTAGTTTGGGGGTTCCTTGTTAGAGTTGTATTTATAATATACCCGAAAACCCTATTCTGATTATTATGGCCTCTACGTTAAGCCTAGTTGGTGTTTAGGAGCTTCTTGATGGTCTACAGTTAGGAGAAGGAATTTGAGGCTGATCCGGTTTGGAGCTTTGGCGTCATGAAGTCTTCCCAACCCGAAATCCTGAACCTTACAGTGCGGGAAGCCGGGAATTAGAGGAGCATGCTAAAGCCTTGAACCTTTTCATGATGGTTATTTAGGGCTGCAGGGCTCTAGGGTTTAGGGTTTTGGGTTTAGGTTTCGAAATGGAGTCGATCAGATGCCTTGACAAACCTTCCATTCCAAGGCCCGGAGTAGTAGAGAATTCTGCAGATCTCGATTTGGGGCTGGGCCTCTAAAGGATCCTGCTGGGACAGTAAATGAAAGCTGCCCCAAATTTGATCTGCAAGGCCTGGTTCACGCCGAGAGGAAGGTGGGCAAAGTATCAAAACCAGCAGCACACGCTGGCTTTGAGTTTGGTGTCTCATGATATGTCGGCGGTGAGAATTTGGATTTCGTGCTCAGAATTCAGGGCTCCAGGAAGCTAGTGGTATTTGCATGACGCGCTCTGCGCCTAATATGGGGGGGTCTGAACATCGATCCACGCGTGTCAAAACATACCCCCCCGGCCGCCATACCCTCTTTTGAAACAGTCTCGCATCAAAGCCATCACTCAAGCCTGAACTCGAAGCAAACCATAAGCCCAAACACCGCAAAACCTTAAAGCCCTAAACCCCAAACCGTTACAACGCCGAAGCCCTCAATACCCTAAACCGCTAAGCCCTAAGCCCTAAACCCTAAGCTCCTAAGCCCCTAAACCCCGAAGCCCTGAAGCCATAAAGCCCCGACCCGAGACTCCGAGATCTCGCTCCGCCCGAAGAGCTGAAGTTTGGGGTGTGGACTTCGTCTTGAGTGCTTTGTCTAGCGCTTTGGGGTTCAGGGACTCTAGAAGTTGAGGTATTTCGGGATTCAGGATGTCTTTAGGGCTGTGTGGTGTGAGCTCTGTCGGACCCCTGCTTCTAAACCCTAGCAGAAGCCCTACCCTAAAACCTAAACCCCGCAGGAGCCGATTTACAGTAACCCGTGTAGCAACTGGCAAGAGGCTCTGGACCCTGCCCTGGTCGCTCTGGTCGTGATATAGCAACTTGAATAAATACCAACGCCATTCCCTAAGTATTCCTGTTAGAAACATGTAGTGCAAGATACTCCACAACCCTATTCTTACCTCCTTAAGCCTCCGATTGGAAGCAGCATAGGTTAATATACTCCACGACCCTGTTCTTATGATTCCTTTCAGACCGGGACGGTAAGCATAGTATCCTATTCTAACCATACAGGCCCCTACATTCTAAGAGCCCGTTGAAGGAACCGCAACAGGAGCTCTATTCTCACTAGGGACCCTAAACCCTAAACCCTCGAGAGCGCAAACCCTATTCTAACGGTTGATTAAGGCGCCTAGAGTAGTGGCCCTAAACCCCCCTAAACCCTAAAACCTAAACCCTTAAACCTTAAAACCCCCGGAGGTTTTGCAAGACGAGTCGACTGTTGGCCAGAGCGGCATACAGGACTAGGGGCGAAATGCGACTCTGGGGTTTAGGGTTTAGGGTTGTGGGAAGTTGAAATGGGAGTTTCAGACAGATTGGGGATCGTAAGCTAGGTCTGAAAAATCACGCATAGGCCACCCCCCACCTCTAAGAACACCCCAAATTCAAGGAATTTGGAGGCTTAGGGTCTAGGGGCTACGAGTGCAGTAGCAAGTCGTACCCAATACACCGCAAGCAACAAAGGCACGGGTCAATCGAAGCGAGTGCCCCTTCGTACTCAATGCTTGGAAAGCGTGTCGTGGGCAACCCAAAGACAAAGGGCAAATCAAAGTCGCAAGAGAGGCTTCAGCGAAGCTAGACACCCAATGTGGTGCACACTGTAGAGGGTTTCCGCTCTATAGGCGGCACTCTTGTATGGCGGGAGGCAAAATACAGGTCGAATTAATCATGTGCGGCCTCGAACTTGCACCGCTGTGCAGTCTCAAGCTGCGTAGCAAGAATCTAGCATCTTTGATGCGGCAGTCCTTGGGCACGTGGCTCTTGGCGTCCTGTAGACAACATGTGTGAGGTCTAGGTTCTACAGATGCGAGCCTAAGACGCCACAGACCGCAACCATTGTTGCCCTCCGGTAGACAACATGAGCAAGCTCTTCAAACATGGGATCCTAGGAAGGTCCTGGTATAGAGGACCCAAATACACGCATTGGCTCCTAGACGATTACGATGCGTTGCCTGTGTTTGGCTTTGTCTGGACCGAGAAGGCTACGTAGAAGTATAGTGGTTACCATCAGACCATGTGGCCCTGCTGCGATCTAAGCGACTGAAGCTGAAAGCGATCTCCAGCAGAGCCGCCACCGTGGGTCTAGTGTTCACGGTTCACAATTTGGCGCTCAAGAGAATCGGTGTCGGGTGCTCACCTTGTCCGATCGTTAGGCTCTCGCTCTTCGCCATGCTCAGGCCGAGAACCTCCCAAAACTTCATTCTGCCCCCGCTGTCTACACTGAAACCTGAAACACTCTGTAGGCATCTCTTCGCACGAGGGAGATGTCCTCACGGCCGTAGCTCGCCATGTCCTGGTGTGGTCGAGTCCGGCTGGGAGTGCCTTCGCAGTAGCTTGGCCTCTTCAGCGACATGGCACGGGTTTGAGGGAACGGTCTGTACATAGGCCCCGGTGTGGGTCCGGTATTATTTGGGTCATAGGCTTAGGGTAGCTATAGTTTTTCGGTTTTAGCAAGATCCAAACTATGTTATGTTGACTTACCTGGGGGGGTGAGCAGCACTTTTGAGTTAGTCAGTATGGTTCTGCGGACATTTGCAGCACCTACTTGAAGCTATGTACGAACGCAGCCAAGGTAAGCCGGAGCGACGGCTTCGTGTTCACCTGGGGGTTATCCATGTGCGCAGCCTCCAAACACAGCATTTGTGATTGTTTGTCTGCCGCGTAGCCCCAGTCCTCACGAGACAGCACGTGTCTGCATTTTCAAGCGTTCACTAGACATGTTCGCACATGGCAGACAGCACTAGGTACGGAGGCGACAGCAGTGCCGTCAAGGATCAGCTCTGGCATGTGAAGCAAGTGTGTGTCGGCGATGCTGCTAGTGCTGCTGTTCGGGAAGACGGGACCGTGATCACCTGGGGAGATGATTCCCAGGGCGGAGACAGCTCGAAGGTGGGGTCTTCTTCGAAATCGGGTTTAATTGCCAAACCGATACGTGTGGGACGCGCCGTACGCGGCCCCAAAGTCCGTCGAATAGAAACCGATACGTGCGGTTAATGTGCCGGTATAAACATATACATATCCAGCCACATAGACATGTACATTTCATATATATATATATATATATAGATATATATATATATACACACATATACACAGATGTACATACTTGCATATGCGTATAACCGCCGCTCAATTGGGAGTTTCACAGAATTAGGGGGCCCGAATCTACTGGCACAGGTATCCCTGAACCGTTCGCCTTATACCTCCCACATCTAAGAAACGAAGCCTTCAAGCATGAAAACTGCTTCTGTCACTTGTGCACTGACCTCTCATGGACTCTATCGTGATTTGTGCGCGCGTAAGTGTTAGTTGCACCGCGTGTGCCTTGGAGCGTGGCATAGTGCTCTGACACGAAGAAGTAGTTTACTTTTTTAGTGTTTATAAACCTATAAACACTTATAGCAGTTATATTGCAATCAGTGCGTGTGTGCAGTGGTTTCTACGAACTATATCTCTAAAGGCCTGAGTAGTCAATAGACGTATCCCCTTGAAGTAGTAGTAGTAGTAGTAGTAGTAGTAGTCCGTATTCTTTTGCACTACAGTATACCCCAACGTCCTATTCCAAATATGACGGCGCCTAAACTAGGAGAAGCTGCAGGTGAGCCATGATCTCCATGACATCAAGGACGTCAGGGCTTCGCATTCCGCCTTCGCCGCACTTCGCGACGACGGCGAAGTGATTACGTGGGGTGCTGGTAATTTTGGAGGCCTGTGTCTGCTGCCACGAGATCAGATCCGCAATGTCAGGCACCTGGAATCCTCCTATGCAGCTTTTGCAGCCATCCGAGATGATGGGTCCGTGGTCGCCTGGGGCGATGAACGCTTCGGTGGGGATTGCAGTAAGCGTAAGGGGCAGCTGGTGGGAATTGTGCGGATTTCGTCCACCAGCGGTGCCTTCGCCGCTGTCACCTGCCGAGGGCAAGTCGTCACTTGGGGAGACCGCATGATGGGAGCAGACAGCTCTGGAGTCGCCGACAGGCTGCAGAATGTTCAGTCTGTAGAGGGCAGCACAGGGGCATTCGCCGCACTGCGAAAGGACGGAACCGTCGTGACATGGGGTCCTGCAGCATACGGAGGGGATAGCAGGAAAGTCCAGGGACAGCTCCACGATATCCGGCTCCTTCGCGGCTCTGTGCGAGCTTTTGCTGCCTTGCGACAAGATGGCAGTGTGAACCTGGGCCTGTTGAACTAGTTCAGGTGGCAATTTGGGATTTTTCAAAACTCATATCCTTTTTCAACTACAGCCCGATTGAGGTCGGCAGTTTGGAATGTTCGAATACCGATCCTTCTTGGACTCCCCAGTTGGAGGAAGTGCCTGCATAGTCTCCAGAGTGCGGGTCCAGTTGGCCTTGCATGGTTTCTGAAACTTAATGGCACTGACTCGCCCAACCAACGAGCACAATGCCCGCAAACGAGTGAACTTAGTGTAGGTATATATGTATCATATGCGCCCCGCTGCCGTGATAGATACTTTCCGCACAGAGCAATGGCTGTTTGTTACTGAGATACCTATAGTCTGAACCTGCAACCCCATCTGCTCGGACGACGAGCATTCTAGGATTACTTGGGGAGATGCTGCCTTCGGTGGCAGCAGCGTCAGCATCCAGCACATGCTGTCCGATGTGCACCCCGCACTTTGTTACGCTGTCTGGTTTTATGGTATAGGGATTACGGGTTGGCTTGTGGTCGAACCCTTAAACCCAAACCCTCTGTCCCTGCACCTTGCTTTGCTTCATGCAAGGCTTAGTAATCAAACCGGTTCTAAGGCTGTAAGCTGCAGAACATCCCAGAGTCTGAGCCTGGCTGAGCGCGATTTCTGGAATTATGTAAGACCTGAAACCTAATTGACCGCCCCTCCCGTCCTACCCCCAGGCCCCTCCCCATCCCGCATCGCAAGCAGTGTCCCCCTCATCCGCCCCAACACTGAAAACGGCAACATCATCATCAACAACAACAGCAACAACAACAACAACAACAACAACAACAACACCAACAGCAACAACAACAACAACAACAACAACCACAGCAGCAACAGCAACAGCCACAATCCGCCACAATAGCAACAGCCACCGCAACACCAACAACGACTAACCGACCGACCAACAGACATACCAAGCAAGCGAGCAAGCGAGCATCCAACCAACCAGCCGACCAAACCCCACCCCTTAAGCCTGTGGGAAGATGTCATCACCCCCCGAGACCCCAACCCCAACGCGGCCGCAAAAACTCAGCTCAAGCGATGAGAAGCGCTTTCTGACCGTTACCGCAGACTGTTGGGTCTTTTTTGACGGGGGAATCGATAGGCAACGCAATTTGTTCTAGAAATTCAGCCGATTTTGGTGGTTCGGTGCCTAGAAGAATGGTTCCCGTAGATACTAAATGTACTAAGTCAGACCTCCTCGGAAGCCTCGGCGGATGTTTCAAAACTTAGGAATCCAATACCCTCGGAAAGATTCCCAGTACGAGTTTAGGGTTTAGGGTTGAGTTCCGAAGCCCTGAAGCTTTTTCCAAAATCCCGATTCGAGATCCCCAAGCTCGAAACACCCCAAACCTTGAATCCTGTCGCCCAGGAGGGACTGTGTCGAAAGACCAGCCTGCCGCCTCAAACCCTAAAGATTGAAACCTTGAAGCTCTGAAATGCGAGGTTCAAGATATCCTACGTTCAGAGAAGCAGGTCAACCTAAACGAAGATTCCCCAAGCCTTCCACCCCCGAAAGGCAAGATCTTCGAGCTTCCCACGCTGCCTTTGCGGCTCTCCGGGCAGATGGCCACGTCGTGGCTTGGGGCGACGATGCTTATGGAGGCGGCTTTGAGTTTATATGTCTTCAAGCTGCGGGTTGAGGGCTTGTTTTTTCAGTTATGCTATGCAGACCCGTGTATTCGGAGGGAGGCCAGGCTTCAAGCTCTGAGGATAAGGAGTTTGGTATTTGGGGAAGCAGAGGCGGTGTTTGTATGGGTTTTGGGGGGGGGCCCAAGGTGGAGTCCAGGCCTAAATCTGGTGGGATCCCAACACTTCAGCCGAGGCCCTTTCAAGAGGAAGAGCGGGGTTGCACAAAAAAGGGTCGAAACAAAAACATCCGGAGCCAAGCAGAGTTATAAGCCTGCACTAAGTCACTAAGCCAAATGAAACTTGCAAAAAATCTCAAGCATTGGGAAACTTTGCAGCCACTCTTGTCTCCGAGGATCCTGCCAGGAGGCAGAGGAGGAACTCTACAGCACCGCGGCAAGATGTTTCAGACGTTGCACAGCACGGCTTCAGTGTTAGGGTTTGATATGTTGGGGCCCTCTTGTGAGAGCGTAAACCCCAAGACTCCCAAACGAACCCTAAACTTCCAAAACCTAAAACTTTCCTCAACCCTTCAACCTGAAACTAGAAGAGGAGCTTTGCAAGGATTAGTTAGTAACCTCCTAGTCGGATTGATTTTGTGGTACCTGCCTCATTGAAGGGATGGAAGAATCGTAGGTAGTATTAGGGAGACCCCTTGAAGGGGACCCTTGTTAGCCCTACTTATCGTTCTCTTAAAAAAGGGCCTTTTTGAGAGGGTCTATATCTCCACGGGTCCCCTTAATTCTAGAGTAATTCTAACTCCAAAAGCAAGAGTTGCCAAGGTTTCGGACCTTTCGGGATTTAGCTTGTGCGAACGTAAGGAGTTAATGCCTCGGGTTTGCAGGGTAATGCAGGGGCTTAAATAATTACCAATACTATTTTGGCGGCTGCCCCGAAACCCTATTCTAAGTATTAAGGCCTGTATATTATAGTATGAAGGCATGAAGGTGTTTAGGTGTAGGTGGCGCGTGCACAAATACGTAGGCACCACCCCAAAGCCAGGACAGGCGCGCTTGCCCACGAGGGGGAGGGGTTCGATCTCCTTCTGACAAGCTGGGGAAGAAGAGAGAGGGAGAGAGATCTTATAACTACACGGTGTGGGTTTATTACTGCAGTCCCGTTTCTATGTTGTGGAATCTGGACCACTGGTCTAAATATGCCGAGTTGTGAATAGCCGCCAGGGTCGGCTGAAGCAGTCCCACCATGCACCATATCATGCCACAAACCCTAAAGGCCCTAAACCCTAAACCCTGACAGCGTAAAAATATCATTTGGCTTGCGATTCCCCCTGAGGTGTGCAGGAAATCCATCCGTGCAGAGCTGCATTTGCTGCGCTTCGCGCTGACGGCTTTGTCATCACGTGGGGGGATCAAGCCTTCCGTGGTGACAGGACCCAAATTTACGAGCAGCTACAGTCTCCAATTTTCAAGCAATTGTAGACTTGTTTCATGCTGGTCGTTGGTCCAGTTGCTGTTATCCTTTGCACTGGTTTTCGCTGGTCGTCGTCATACCCAGTCCTCCAGTAGAACTCTTATTGTGGAGCCAAGAAGCAGGCTCCAGCTAACTTTTTAAGGGCTGTTTATTCTGCTCGAAACTTGTGGCAGAGCCACGAAGTGGCTGCTACTCCAACAACTTATATCCGACCTGCCAGCTCGTGGCCAGTTATACCGTAAACCCTAAGCCCTAAACCCGAAAATCCGAAGTACCCAAGCCAGATTCGACATAGTTTGTGAGCATCCAGGGAATCCCACCGTGCTTGGCCGAGCTGTGGCTGCCTGCACACGCAAGAGTTGATGCGTCCCGAGGCCCCTGAAACCCAACATCCTAGTCCTAAAGGCCTTAATATTTTCCGACAGAACGACAGCAGGTGCTGGATGGCTGAGTTTCGTCGAGTGGGGAAGGTGGAGTTGTGTCGGCGTTGAAATTCGTAGGCGCACCTTGATTTCCGTAGTGCCTAAATCTAAATCTTTCCGGCGCAGCCAGAAACTGAAGGTGTCAAGCACGCAGATCATCCTAAACGGATCGAAACAAGCTAAGACAGAGGTAACTGGAGAATTTCAGAACAAGGACAATACCGCTCGAAAGAGACTAGAGAAATTGAAAACAAGGAGCAAGCCACTCGAAAGGAACTAGAGAATTTCAGAACAAGCAGCAAACCGCTCGAAAGAGACTAGAGAAATTGAAAACAAGGAGCAAGCCACTCGAAAGGAACTAGAAAATTTCAGAACAAGGAGCAAACCGCCCGAAAGAGACTAAAGAGGAAGAGACTAAAGGGTTTCAAAACGAGGATCAAACCGCTCGAAAGGACCTATACAGAATTTCAGTACAAGGACCAAACCGCTCGAAAGAGACTAGAGAAATTGAAAACAAGGAGCAAGCCACTCGAAAGGAACTAGAGAAGTTCAGAGCAAGGAGCAAACCGCTCGAAAGAGACTAGAGAAATTGAAAACAAGGAGCAAACCACTCGAAAGGAATTAGAGAAGTTCAGAACAAGGAGCAAACCGCTCGAAAGAGACTAGAGGAATTGAAACCAAGGAGCAAGCCACTCGAAAGGAACTAGAGAATTTCAGAACAAGGAGCAAACCGCTCGAAAGAGACAAGAGAAATTGAAAACAAAGAACAAGCCACTCGAAAGGAACTAGAGAATGTCAGAACAAGGAACAAACCGCCCGAAAGAGACTAGAGAAATTGAAAACAAGGAGCAAGCCACCCGAAAGGAACTAGAGAATTTCAGAACAAGGAGCAAACCGCTCGAAAGAGACTAGAGAAATTGAAAACAAGGAGCAAGCCACTCCAAAGAGACTAGAGAAATTGAAAACAAGGAGCAAGCCACTCGAAAGGAACTAGAGAATTTCAGAACAAGGAGCAAACCGCCCGAAAGAGACTAGCGAAATGGAAATCAAGGAGCAAGCCACTCGAAAGGAACTAGAGAATTTCAGAAAAAGGACCAGACCTCTCGAAAGAGACTAGAGAAATTGAAAATAAGGAGCAAGCCACTCGAAAGGAACTAGAGGATTTCAGAACAAGGAGCAAACCGCTCGAAAGAGACTAGAGAAATTGAAAACAAAGAACAAGCCACTCAAGAGGAACTAGAAAATTTCAGAACAAGGAGCAAACCGCCCGAAAGAGACTAGAGAAATTGAAAACAAGGAGCAAGCCACTCGAAAGGAACTAGAGAATTTCAGAACAAGGAGCAAACCGCCCGAAAGAGACTAGAGGAATTGAAAGCAAGGAGCAAGCCACCCGAAAGGAACTAGAGAAGTTCAGAACAAGGAGCAAACCGCTCGAAAGAGACTAGAGGGTTTGAAAACGAGGAGCAAACCACTCGAAAGGAACTAGAGAATTTGAGATCAAGGAGCAAACCGCTCAAAAGAGACTAGAGAAATTGAAAACAAGGAGCAAGCCACTCGAAAGGAACTAGAGAATTTCAGAACAAGGAGCAGACCGCTCGAAAGAGACTAGAGAAATTGAAAACAAGGAGCAAGCCACTCGAAAGGAACTAGAGAATTTCAGAACAAGGAGCAAACCGCTCAAAAGAGACTAGAGAAATTGAAAGCAAAGAACAAGCCACTCGAAACGAACTAGGGAATTTCAGAACAAGGGGCAAACCGCCCGAAAGAGACTAGCGAAATTGAAAACAAGGAGCAAGCCACTCGAAAGGAACTAGAGAAGTTCAGAACAAGGGGCAAACCGCCCGAAAGAGACTAGCGAAATGGAAAACAAGGAGCAAGCCACTCGAAAGGAAGTAGAGAATTTTAGAACAGGGAGCAAACCGCTCGAAAGAGACTAGAGAAATTGAAAACAAGGGGCAAGCCGCTCGAAAGGAACTAGAGAATCTCAGAACAAGGAGCAAACCGCTCGAAAGAGACAAGAGAAATTGAAAACAAGGAGCAAGCCACTCGAAAGGAACTAGAGAATTTCAGAACAAGGACAATACCGCTCGAAAGAGACTAGAGAAATTGAAAACAAGGAGCAAGCCACTCGAAAGGAACTAGAAAAGTTCAGAACAAGGAGCAAACCGCTCGAAAGAGACTAGAGAAATTGAACACAAGGAACACGCCACTCGAAAGGAATTAGAGAATTTCAGAACAAGGAGCAAACCGCCCGAAA